TATAACGTTAGAGAGTGGATGGCTTATAATGTGACAAAGCAAGCAGCAGTAGCAGCAGCAAAATTTTAAAACGGCCATTAAATGTTGTGCTAGTATCAGGAATATTATTATGTGTAGATATAAATAACGCTCAGAACAAGTAAAAGAATGTACATCAGAAAGCATCTCAACTGTTGTTTTAATAGCATGTTCTATTAGAGTATCTCTAGTAATGGTATGACTAAAGGCAGCAGCTGTATATCTATTTATGAAGTATTTGCTGCAATATCGTTTAATTATAAAAAATAAATTGTATTGTTAAAGAGCATAACGTCATGCTAATGTGTAGAGTGACGATACCACAGATAGCAGTTCTGAATAAAGTTAAGTAGCAGAAGCAAAAGCAATAAGTGCTCTATATTGTTGTCTGAGTAGCTTCATAAATAAGGCGGGTGAACGATCGGATAACGAATAACAATGAAGCAGAACGTTTGTGGATAGAAGGATAGATGGATTCGTTATTTGTTGTGTATTCCATTTATTAGATTATTTTATATTCATCGTGGCTGTCGTCTTAGTCTTTGTCTTAGTGTTAGTCGTTCACATTTTCATTTATATATTCCATTTGATGTGCGTTTCGCTGATCGTAAATTACTCAATTAAATTACTCTTATCTTTAGTTTACCCAGCACTTCAGTCCGCTTTCATTTCACATCACTCATCATCTATCAATCAATCCATCTACCAATCCATTCAGCATTCATTTTCACAACATCAATTCGCTTATTCATTTGTTCATCGCTTGTTTCTTTAACTTGATCATTTCAATTCGCACTTATAATTATTACTTTCTTTCGAGCGATTTTTTACCAATTTGCAGAGCGATTTTGGTTTCATCTGTTTAAGTATAATAATATTATAATAACAGCAACAATAATAATAATTGTTATTATATTGTTATTTTTATTTTTGTTATTATTATCGATATTAGTTTTTTTTAAATAAATTTACTGCTGTGCTTATATTTTAATGTATACTTATACATGAATGCATCAGTACGAGTTTAAAAAAAAATGGATGTCAAATGCGAAGAAATCAATCATTAAGGAGTTCGTTCTGTTGCGTGCGATTTTTTTTTCCATTTCGACGATGAATAAATGATAATTGCTTAAACAGCATGCATAAGGTGGGGGAGGGGGGGGGGGGTGACGTGCTGTCGAGAATACAAATTCAATCAAATTCATTGTGAATTTGCATCGAAAATGAAATAAAGAACGAGCGAATGACGTCAAATAAATGAATATTCAGCAATTTATACAAATCGAATCAAATTTCCACTCATTCTCAACAGTCCATTTTTATCTACCTAACTTTTTCAATTTAATTTCGCTGCTGTAGACAATAATAAATTTATGATTCGATTTCATTCAATAATCATTCAGCAACAATTGTTTAATAGTAAATGAGCGCAATTAAAAAGTGAATCGCACGTTGGTGTAAATAAATAAAAGTGAAAGTGATTAGAACAGCTCATAATCAAATAATGAGGATTTTGTTACTTTTACTGACTAGAAGTGAAATTAGAATAGAATAAAGTAGTAAGCATTATAGAATAATGCAATTTGAGTAAACGGATTGCGATGAAATAGTGGAATGAGATCGATCAGTGAATTGTTTCTTTAAAGAACTGCATGATGCTTTCATAAAATGTTGAGAATGTTCAGTGCTTTTGTTTATTGCTTTTACAATATTGATACTGTTGCTTTCGGTTCATGATTTTGTTCTAACGTCGAAATGTTTGTTTTAGCGTTTAATTTATTTGACGCATTGTTACGGTCAATAAACGCAGTTAGCACCTTTGGTTTATTCATGAGTTTCGTTTGGGTTGTAATCAGATGCACGATAGAACAGTTGTCCGTTCATGAGTAATTCATCTCGATAGAAATTAGCTCCATATCATCCTAACGAAGTGTGTTCGCATAATGAGCTGAGCTGAAAGCTACTTTGCTTCGGTCATTCATTCATCCATCTTCAATTGCACACTCTCAACTCAGACAATACTGCTCGCCAACCAAACTTTTGCTTAACACCGAATGATGGTATAGCTGTGTGATCAATTTTATGAAATGTGTAAACTAGTGTTCGGAGGTTGGATAATCTCCTCCCGAGGGCATAAATCAATATAACTAGACGCGAGAATCCTCCGTAAAATGTGGAAAAGAAAAATAACTGTAATTCATTGCATAAAACTCACAGTTGATTTATTTTGTCAAAACAAAAGTTGCATAAGAGCGTCATAAACAGTAATGCCCAAGCTCCGGAGTTTTAAAAAAATTTTCGATTTTCATCAGATTTGCATCAATTTTCCATCAAAAAATGTCGCATCAATATTCAGTAGACGAGGCTATGACATGCGTAATAAATTTTATGCGGAGCCGGAGCGAAGCAAATTTTGGAGCCAAAGCCGTAGCCAGACATTTGAAGGATGCAGAACTGCAGCTGGGGCCGAAGCCGAAATTTTCGAATTTGTGAGCATGAGCTGGAGACGAATTTTCAGATGTGCAGAGCCAGAGCTGAGTCGATTTTTTGTGATTTGAGTATCGCTGGTCATAAGTCTTTATAAAATCTGTAGGTGCAATGACGAAGAAAGAGCAAAACAAATGTTGTACCAAATAATGACAATGTGAAGTCAATTCCGATTTTGTAAACCAAACAATGAGCACTGTCACCTTTGCAAATCGTATTCTGCCGCACATCAATTCATTCAATTGCAGTGACTATTCGGAACCGCAGGTTGCGACAATACAACAGTAAAATTCTTTGACATTTTACGGTGACTTTTTAGTGTGACCAAAAATCTGCATGCTTTATCACCACATTGCGCAGCTCGAAGCAGTCTGCGTTGCCATGTTTTAAAAATTGCTCACAAATTACACTTCCCAAGATACAATCAAAGTATGCGAGATCCCCATGAGGGCTTCAAAATCTTCTGCCTCCGTTGGGAATTCCATTCAGAAAATCTCCTCCCCCTTCGTGGGAAGTGGATTCGTTTCCGAACACTAATGTTAACCAACAACTCGCAAACATTTTACAACCAATTATATCCATATGTTCTTTCAGAAGAACTCAGTTAAATGGACTCTGAAAACCGAGTAATTCTTAATGTGGGTGGCGTTCGACATGAAACCTACACTCATGTTTTGAAAAAGATTCCAGCAACAAGATTATCAAGGTTTGATTTGTGGTATCAATGAAAGTTGATGTGTTTTTATTAATCTTTCTGCATTCTATCCATTTGAAGACGTTCTAAATGAACAAAACCCGAAGAAAAGAATTTACAGATTAACACCGAATTTAGCGAATTACGATCCAGTTTTAAATGAATACTTTTTCGATCGTCATCCCGGCGTTTTTTCAATGATACTTAATTATTATCGAACGGGTATTTATTTATTATATTTGCTTATTCATTCATTCATCTATTTATTTAAACGCTTGTTTATTTGTTTATTTTTGAAATAAGTGTTTGTGTTAAGATGTATCGATTTGCTGTTCATGTGGTGCTTTCATAAATCAGTGCATTCAAAAGAGAAGGATTAAAGGTAAAGTTGTGGACTTGCTTTCAGGAAAATTACATTATCCAACCAATGTGTGCGGGCCATTATTTGAGGATGAACTAGAGTTTTGGGGATTAGATGCAAATCAAGTTGAGCCGTGCTGTTGGATGACTTATACACAACATAGGTACATTCATATTTATTTTGTTCGGTTATTCTCATTTCCTCAGCAAAATCTAATTGCAGGAATCCAGCTTATAGAAACTTTTCAGAAATATATCTCGATTTAGTAGGGCTAAACTGTAAAAGTTTGGGAAAATTTTGAATTACTGAACATGGAAAAGTACAAATAAAAATTCATTTGGATGAAAGATATATACATCGAAGATTATATGCAATATGCATGAGCATGTGAGAATTTGCATTTGTTTGAGTAAAAAAAATAGCAAATCGATAGAGGTAGATTTAAAGTAAATAATAAAGAATTTTGGTAGAGATACGCAAGATACATTGGCAGTGATCGAAGGATTAGACTTGGATGCTGATCCACCATCCGAAGAGGAATTAGCGAAACGTTTCGGTTGGGAAGATGACTTTTACTCGGGAACGATGACGAAATGGCAGAGGTTGAAACCAAAATTATGGGCATTGTTTGATGAGCCGTGGTCATCTGAATATGCTAGAGTTGGTCGTTATCATTTGTGTGTTCGTTGATTGTTGAATATTCACTTGTTTACTTCAAACATCTGCTATTTGCACGTACCTTTGGTTGTACTCTTTTCGTTGCTTCTTGTTGTACATTTATTCCAGTTTAGTTGGCTTAAAGCTATTCTATTATGTGTATATCATCTGATTTTTTCAGTTGCCGTTTTGATCTCTGAAATGATATCGATTCTATTTACTAATGCCCTTAGGCATTTCTTGCTTGCACGGTTACATATCAACTTGAGTGTTGTGTTGTTCATTTGCAGAATATTATTTAAACTTGTAAGCTTTATTTTATTTGTTATTGTTGTAAGTTTGTTAGTTCTGTTTATGATAGAAATGAATGAATCATACTCTATTTTTGTGAAGAAATTTGCTTAAGGTTTAGTGATGCAGCATGACAATGTGTTGTTTTATTCATTTGCTTTTATAGTCATTTATTTATCGTTTATTCACTCATTTGAAACAGTCACATCAAATTTTGTTGAATATAATAAAATCCGTTGAATTCAATGAATAGTCAACAGATGATTATTATTTATAATACTAATTATGATTATTGATAATAATTACTATTACTTATTACTACTAGTATTACTATTATTATGATCATTTTCAGATGATTTCAGTGATATCTGTGTTTTTTGTGATAACGTCGATAATTTGTTTTTGTTTGAAGACACATCCTCATTTGCGTATACCTGATATTGATATACATCCTAAGAACGGCACCGAGGCGAATTATATTAATACTTTTATTGTGACCAAAACTGCGACTCGGTTTATTATTTCTTTTTATTTATTAATAACATCGTTATTATTATTATTATTATTATTATTATTATTGTTGTTGTTATTGATCGTGTGTGCAACGATTAGATTAGGATTGTTGTTGCTGTTGTGTAGTTTAATTGAATAAGATTTTAATTGCAGTGCACACCCAGCGTTTTTTTACGTTGAACTGATCAGCAATATGTGGTTCACTTTCGAGTTATTGCTACGTTTCATTTTATGTCCAAATGTTTCGAAGTTTATCACACAACCGATTAACATCATCGGTAATATCCTCTTTGATAGTTTGGTCGTTCTTTGATTCTGCTTATCGTATTCAGTGGAATGATAAGAAAGTATCTTAGTGCGGATGGCGATTATCAGTGAGAGGTTTATAGGTTACAACCAAAACAGAGTATTGTTACAGGGCATGTCAGTTTTACAAACAGTTTAAAATTTTGCACGGTTTCTCATTAACATTTAGGTCTCCTGATTAGACATTGGATGGAGGTTGGGATTTTTTTCTTGGTTAGATATCAAAAATTTTGAATACATTCTCACGAAAAAGTCAATTCCGTAATCATTATCATGGGAAAATACGTCTTCTTACTTAATTTTGCACAAGAATTGAGTTCTGAGTAGGAACTATATGATTCATTTATCCTTTGCTCTTGTGCACCCAATTGGAACATTAACGAGCAAAGGAAATTATCCAAGCTGCAATCTCTCAATCGCATTTCTCGGCGTTGGCTCGTTTTGGAAGTACTTTTTGAGTGAGCCCATTCCGTACCCACGCGTTCTGTTTACAAGTGTGGTGTCTGGGCTTGTCACAGAGACTACCAAAAACGAATTGGCGGTTCCTGTTTCTGTCATTATTTTAGCCTTATCGTTCTAGTCGAGCTTTTCGCATCCACTGTCCACACGGGATGTGGACTGAGAGGAAAAATTATTCGAGCTGCTTATGTTTTGAATAAATACGAAGCAGTCCAATAAGCATATCGCTAGTGGTTAGCATGGGATATTAATGCCTGAGCGGTGTGCATAAGGATCGACGTCTGATGCGATAACATTAAATTTATCGTTGCACAAGGAAGGTGAAATTAGGATAATGAAACCCAGAAATGTGAGTTGTTCTAGACTCGTGAGATGTATGGGCTTGCTTATGAATATGCTCGCAGTTGCGATCACGACTATCGAAAAGCGAAAATGATAAACAAACTGGATCAGCTGGCAGTGGCTGTCAGAAAGGGTTCTGTTCACTAGTGATGCAAGGAGTTGCTAAATTTAACTGTAACGCAAGCAAATTCCACATTTCTCGAACAATTGCGCCAAGCATTACTTTCACCTCATCTCTGTAGAAGGCAACGCATCTCACTTTCAAATGATTAAAAATGAGATCGGTAATACCTCTATAATTCAGCATATCATCTACCCATGTCGTTGCACGGGTAGCTCCTGGCTTGACACTAAGGCACTTTGTGACATGATGTAGTTAATCCTTCACCATCATGCCACATTTCAATATCTATATTTAACAGAAAACACTGTTCGAACGGACTAAAATAAACCGGCTTTCCCGTAAAACAACTTGGAAACATTTCCTTGCGGTTCACTATTCGATCAACAAATCGTCGTCGAAAAATAAATGTTGTTTTGGGTTTTTCTACCAGATCAACTAATATCACGAAAAAGGTTAACAGTACACAAGGCTTAAGGGGAGTTAAATCCTAATTAAGTAAGGAATCTAACTGATCAATAAGTATTCGTTCATTTATTCATTCATTGTAGATCTAATCGCGACACTTTCGTTTTACGTTGATTGGGCCGTTGAAAAAGCACTGAGTGGTGCGAATCGCGATACAGTGGAATTCTTTTCAATAATTCGTATTTTGAGATTATTCAAGCTAACGCAACATTCATCCGGTCTGAAAATTCTTATTCAAACATTCAAAGCTTCAGCTCAAGTTTGATTTTATCTTTCCTTTGAATTACCACTTTCATTTAGCATAGCAATTTCTGTTCTTTATTACTGTAATTGTCGTTATTTATTATTAATACTAATATTATTACTATTATTAATACTAATATTATTACTATTATTATTAATAATATAATAATAATAATAATAATAATAATAATAGTAATAATAATA